TTCTTGTTAGGCCTAAGTGAAGTGCTCAAGTTGTTAGAGAAACAAGCCCTTTCATGAGCTATTTTGGACCAACAAGCTACACAAGTACATTATACGGTTTGGATTGATTTTTTGAACATGAATTAAAATATAATAGATGATTTGAGAATAAAAAATTAAATCGAACCAAATCATTCCTTTTATAGTCAATTTAATTATTTTATTAATTTTTATAAATTCAGAAAAAACTTAATATTTTCATATGTCTAATCCCGAGCCAATAAACTCACCCCAAACAACCCAACTTAACCCGAAAATGTTAAGTAACAAAACCTGAAAAACAAAACAGTATAAAATTCATAAAAGACAATTATTACTTCTCTTGAGATAAGAGAATAAATAGTTGAAATAAAATCAAACACAAACTCTTTATAATCAAGCCAAAAAAATCACTCTGTGCACAAACTCTTTTTTTAGCCAACACATTTGCAAAATTACTTTTGCTTCTTTTAACACGACAAAAAGTAATGTATATTAAAAATGAGATCAAACAATTTAATCTGTTAAATTTTTTCCACCAGCGCCAAAGTCAATTGTTTGTGCTCAATGTCCAACTGATCAAATTTTTGAATCAGACTCAACTAGTAAAGGGAAAGAATTCAAATGCGAGGAAAATACTTCAATTGCATAGAGGATTGCTAAGAAAATTGTTCATGGACTAGGAAAGTTATCCACACTGTACACATGTATCTATTTTAGTTTGGTTTGATGGGCATTTATTGAGCCTATAATTTCAATTCATTGTTTTCTTTCACACTTTAAATTGGATTTGAGTTCGAATTTCCATTTAAAAAATATCAGTAGATAGACTATTCTGAGTGTAACAAAATGATTAAAAATCATTTTAAAATCCTTAGATGTGAAAAATATTTGATAAAAAAATGTTTTAAACAAAGTAATGGTTTTTTTTAAAGACTTTTGAAGATAAAATCATACACTAATTTGATAATTCAGCTTTTACTCTGACCAGATCAAACCATCGCTTATTAAAGATCTTAAATTCAAATTTTGACATTCTTTTCCATTTTAGGTCAAGGCAAGATTGTAAAGTTGAAGTTCTGAAAGATCTACTCTCAAACCATTGCATGCAAGTAATAACTTGAGTCTGAAGGCTAAAATCATCAATATCAATCTCCTTCACCAATGCTAATTCAAAAGGAAAAAGAAAGAGTTAAGTAAAACTTTGAATATCTATGTATCTTATACTATATATTAAGAAAGCCATGAATTAAATTTGAACAACACTCTAGATTTAATCTGAGGATAACTACGTGTATGATTTAGAATATTTTAGTTGAAGTTTTCCTGTTTCAATATTGAATCAACAAAAGAAAAGAAAAGAAAGCTAAGGTTCAGGGCAAAAAAGAAAAAAGAAAATCTTGAAAATGAAACAATTGAATACAAAACTAGGGTTATCCCAAAAAGTTGGTTAACTGAACAAAATACATATAGGCATAAATTCAATAAATTTTTTTCTAATATTTTTCATATTTTAGCTATAATACTTATAAATTTGTAATATAACTTTCAATATGATATGTAATCAACCTGGAGAAATAATAATATGATATAGTGAACTTAAAACATGATAGATGATAATATTCAGCTGTTGCTTTGTGACTGAAATCTTCAATTGCCAAATATATTGCAACATAAGAGTAAGGCAAGTATCATGTAACTCTCCTCGCAGGCCCCAAAATTACGCGTACGTACCACTGATGATGATGATGATGATGATATGCATGTGATGGATAAAGAGAATGGAAGTGGAACGTGCGTGAAGTCATGAAGCCTTTGAGGGAGAGTTGAATGAGAAATGCCTTCTTGATTTTGCTATCTGCTTCTCTCTTCTTATCTACTGCTTTTGATTGTATGTGTTGATGAATATATGAGATGAGGGAAACACAATTCTCCTTTTTATAGGCAAAACTTTGGATCAGAAATAAATAACAGATGTCGATAAAGAATAAGTTCCTCTTTTTCAAAAAACTACTAAACCTAATCCGCCATTAAATTAGATGCTTTGCACCACGTGAGTTTAAAAGTTACAAGGTAATGTATCTTCTTATCAGTGTAAAATACACGATACTTTAATAATTGCTGTACTAATAATATAATTCTTCTTATTATATAGTTATTAAAATTATTTACCCCACTAATTTTTAATTTTCAAAACATAATTATTGTAAATATAATTTGACTCTCAAAATTATATTTTTGGACAAATTATTACACTTAAATAAAAGTATATTTAAACATGTGGTAGGCTATTAATGAGAATCCAAACTTGTAATCTCATAGCGTTGAAAATGATTATTGTAAAAATGAATTCTACATAAACAATAATAAAATACCTTTTTAAAAACTTATAAAAAAGTGGGTGTTAAATTTAGCTCCTCATACATGAGATTAACAATGCTCTATTTAATGGTCCACGAATTTAACTAATTCAGGGAGAGTTTGCATTACGGAGGATTGAATCTGTTAATTTAAACCATAGTGATTAAATCCGTAAGTGCTCTTTGCTGCAGAGCTATCCTATTCGGATTATACATACTTTATATTTGCAAATGAGTATCAATTAATCCATTATAAGAAATAAAACTCAATTTTTCCTCGTATTTTGAATGCTCTCACAATTTATCCAAAAGTTATTTTTTATATAATTATGGCCTATGTTTACACTAAATGAAAAAAAAAGATCCTTATTCCATTTATTAATATTGCTTTTATAGAAATTAGCTTAAATTAACGAGCTAATTGATTTTATAGAAGTTAGATTTCACTATTTACATACTTATAAGTTCATAAACCTTATACAATTCCGCCAAAATTAAATTTTAATACTGTTAAGCAGAAACTAATTACTTTTCCCGTTCAAAAATTTGATGATTCCAATCGAGCGATCGTCTAAAATAATATTAGACTCTTCAACTAATTGAATGATTTAGACTCATTAATCCTCACTATTTAGTTTCAATTTGCTTGCATTTTGCAAATTGCAGAGATTTCTACTGCTATATCGATATATTATAAATTGGCTAAATTCTGACTTATTGGCAATTGCTGTATGAATCGATTAATGTTGATTGCATAGTTGACTCTGATGCATGCTTTATAGCATCATTTTCAGGAGATAGTGTGTTGTATTTTGGAGATCATAATAATCCAATAAGAATAAATGCTAATAAGATCAGAATATAATCTTTATACACATTCCACTTATTGTAACTCCAATATCCAGAATAATCTATTGTTTTTTGGTGCGACTCAAAGGTCATTCCTGTCGATATTTGAGTTGTTATGATAGAAACATTTTACTGTGGGATTCAATTTACTTCTTTTTCTTTTTTCTAGCATAGGATAAGAAGATTCAAATCTAAGTGGAGGTGGATTGTTTCATTGACGGTGGCTTGCTGGTTATAGTCTTAATATTGGGCATTCTACGATTTTAGTTGGGGAGTTGTCGGCAATTCGGGCTAGTCTTGTTCTTGCTTGGGACTATGGTTTTCATCAAGTATAGTTGTTGAATCTGATTGTTTGGAGGTTATGCAGTTAGTCCATTCAGGGATCCTCACTGTCCAACTGTTCTTGTTTTGGATATTTGAAGCTTGTTTGCTCGAGAATGGATTTGTTCTCTTCGTCATGTTTTCAGTGAAGCTAACTTTTCGACTGATCATTTAGTTGAGGATTCTAATCCTGCTTCTCTTTCTTTTATCATTTCGATTGATATTTGTGGTATTGACTTCTGGAGAGGTTTTTTTTTTTTTTTTTTTTTTTTATCAAAAAAAAAAAAACAAAAATATATCATGTCTTTAAAATTGGACGCGACATCAAATACATTTTAAGAAAAAAAGTTGAATTTTTTTTTTTTTTTTTTTTTATCAAAAAAAAAACAAATATATCAATGTCTTTAAAATTGGACCAGACATCAAATACATTTAAAAAAAAATTGAATAGTTCAGTGGCTATCAAAGCTCAACTAATGGTCAATAGGCCCAAGTTTCAAATTTCTAACTATCCATGGGCCTTAAAGATAACTTTTTTGCACTTTCGCCTAATAATTCCGCCTTACCAGTTAGGACAAGAGACTTTGAAAATGGTAGCATTTATTTAATACTTTTACTCCATCAAATCCCAAATATTTATCACATTTGAAAAGTTACGATATTCCTAAATACTTATTAAATTTGTGGATTTAATAAATAATAAATTATTCTTCAAAAAAAATAAATAGTAACTTTTTTTTTCACATTTACTCTTTGTATATTACTAATAGCAATAGAAAGATTTTACTCAAATAATAAATTAAGAATAATACGATCAATCTCCTCAATAACTTATTGTAAGACAAATTGTAAAACGAGCATTTTTATGGGTAGCTCAAGCTAACGAATGAATCCCTATATTCGCTTTTCTCCTAACCATCTAATTAACACATTATATCTTGGAGCCATAAGTGTTTTACAATATAGAAACAAAAGAAGATGAATCCCTGGAAGTAGAACGTAAAGCAAAAAGAACGGTTTGACTCATGAAACAAATAAATAAATATGTTCAGGTATATGAGGAGACATAAAAAGTTAATGTTAAAAACAAATAAAACAATAATTTGCATGGTTTATCTTGTCCATGACTCATGAAGGTTACAAATTCAATTTTCAAACTAATATCCAACCTCAAGAGAGAATATAAGATAAAAGACCAAAATAATTTGGAACAAATAAAAATTAACTAGAGCGGAAGTAAGTGATTTTAATTGCATTTAGCAACTTAATATATACTAAAATTCTTCCTGTGAACATCCTTCTTTGGCTTCTTCATGATTTGGCAGGTGTGCCTATACTCGCATGTAGTTTCTATTTTGAGATTACTTGTTGAAAATCAAATGATTAATAAATATTTTTAAAAATAGGATAATAATCAATTAACCTTATAAATAGAATAAATAAATGATAAAATCAACATGTGTTTGTTGTTTTCTTCCTCCTTAAACGAACATGAGATCGCTGTTTCAGTCCAAAAAGTTGCTCTTCCCACACTTCCCTGGGAAAATTTTTTCTTCTTTCCTCATCAATTCGAACTTGGAAGTCAAATCCTAACCCTAACCCAAAACCCAACTCATAATCATAAACTTTCCGTGAAATTGGATCAGAAAGTGTCTCGTAAGCCTTTCGAACTTCCACAAATCGCTTAGTGGACTCTTCTTTTGCCGATGGAGGACAAACGTCAGGGTGATATTGAAGAGCCATGTTCCTGTAAGCCTTCTTGATCTCATTAAACCCTACATGTTGTGATTCAAGAGAAAGAACTTGATAGAAGTTGGCTTTACATGTAACTATGGTCTTGACCTTATTACAGACCTTTTGCCTTGACCTTGTTTTTTGTAACCTAATAGGAATCATCTTCTGATTCATATGCAAGAGCGTCTCCATGAGCGGGAGAGAGAGAGAAAGAAATAAATGAAGAAATTAAGGGTGAGTTGAAGAAATTAAGGAAGATCTTTATCAATATATAAATGATTCTATGCTAATTAATTTATATGCTTAAACGCGGTTAGATCCTCTTTAAAAATAAAAAATAATTAAGGGCTTTATTATCACACAGAAGTAGAAGCTTTGACCATAATTTTGGCATGGAGTCATCGTCCTGTCGTTCCTATGTATAATTTAATTTAACCTTGCTGTAATGTGGAATATTTATACATTCTGACTTAAATTTTCTCGCTGTTAGTTTTGTATTTTACACTTGTTTATTTTCTCAAATTATAGATTCCTTTGACGTTTATTGCAATGATCCTTAAAAGTAACAGATAATAGAAAAGACAATATTATTTTTGCATGAATAATATATAATTATAGGAGAGAAAATAACAAAAGTTGCACTGCAGAAGCCTTTCAAAAAAAAGATGAACTGCAGAAGAAGGCAGTCCTCCTCATATAATTATATGGAAAATGAAATTTGATTAGAGATAAATTATTTAATATCAAGTGCAGTAAAATATAATGTACCTTATCGATGTTGCCGGAGATTTTTTCTTTGACAGTCTGATAGCCTGGACTTGTAAGACAAGGGTCGGTTTAGGGTTACCTTGAAATTATTTTGATGTTTAAGCCAAAGATATTATTAGATAAATGACATTTTCCCAATTAGGAATTGAAAAAAACGTTTGATATTTTCATGTTTAATTGGACAAGGATAAGCATTCCGTTTGTGCTGTAGTAATATAGGATGGATGATTCATCCTTTTTAGATTGTGCCTAATATAATTGGTCTCTTTCCCAAGGCCGATCCATTGAGCATAAAGAATGTAAATGACCAAGCCAGCTTGTGAATTGTTTGAGTTTAGCTTGAAAAAAGTTTGAAAAAAACTTCACTTTAACGGAACTCTAACCTTATGATATTCAGCTCGAAAGTTTTTCGAATCTTATCAAATTTTTATATATACATAATATTATTGATTTTAGACTTTAAAATTTATCGAGCTGAGGTCGAGTTTAAAATTTTTTTAGTTAAAGTCAAAGCTAAAATCTATCAAGTCAAGCCTTAAGCTTGGCTTGGCTCATTTATACTATCACATTTAGCGAAGCTTTTTTTTTTTTTTTTTTTTGGCTCATTTATACTATGCAAACATTTAGCGAACTTTTTTTTTTTTTTTTTTTTTTCCAACTACGTCGCTTATACTTTCAAATGTATTTTTTTTTTTTTTTTTTTTTTCCAACTACGTCGCTTATACTTTCAAATGTATAGACTGTAGTTAGAATTATTGGTGAGCTCTACCATTGGTAAAACTCCTCTTCGCATTATACCTGAAAATTTCTAATAAAAATCAGAAACATTTAATTACTTAGGGTATCATTGCAGATTTTGTTAGTTTCAATAAACTATTAGCATTATGATCTATTAATTGGCTAGGTTAGGATATATAAGAATAGCCAAAGAACAAGTTTGCAATTGATTATTTTGCAAAATCCGAAATTAGCAGTTTCTGATCTTTCTACGTTGTCTATTGAAATTGTTTTCTTTGTCCAATTTCACATTACAGCAGACATATATCTATATATATGCTTATTAAAATAAAGAAATAAATAAATATTTACATAGATTTTGCTTTTATTTTTTTCTCCTTTGCCGGCCTCCTCTCTCATTCTTCCATAAATTCCTTGGATTCTTTATGTCCTTGAATGCAACCTAGAGTAGATTAAAGGAGGTGAAATTGAACAAATTTACCATTTTAAAAGGTAAAATAAAAAAATTTTAATATTTTATGAAATAATTCTTTAAAAAAAAAAAAATGGTTAGAGGGCGGAGGCCATCTCTGGCCCCCTCCCTCCATCAGTGGATTGAATGGCTAACTGAACTTCAATACTTATTGTTGGCACTTAATGGGTGCATTCTCCTCCACAACTCTCTCCATGGCTAGATTATTATATTAGCAGCACAGCTTTATACATATATATTGATTTAAGACTCTAAGAGGTTGTTTAGATTAATGAAACGTGGAGTACATGAATTTTACAAAATCCGTGCAGTGTAGAATCCATAGATTGTGAAATCTACTTCACAATTCCATAGCTCCGTTCAAAAAGATATAGTCCATCGATTTAAAGATATTTTTAAAATAAAATTAAATGGTTTAGACCATTTTAATAATAAAAATAATGGAATTGAGAAAATAATAAAGTGGGATTTCTCTTTCTTCTAAAATTATGTAATTACGATTACGATGAAATCTATTTATAATTATAATATATTTTTCTCAACCAAATAATAAAATCCATAAATCTAATAATTCAAACGAGCTCTAACAGATCATTTAGAATAATGAAATTTGAATAACATAATGTAAACATTCAATAGATTTTATTAGATTTCTTTGTTTGTTTAATTTGAAAAAAAAGGGATGTAATTGATGAAATTAATAAATTCAATAATCATTTTAAAAGAAAGAAATCGCATCTCATATAAGAAATTTTCTTCATTCAATATATATTTTTTTAAACTAATGATATTGGTATTTAAATTGCTTAGTTTTTATTTTTTTAAATACATTTTTAAAATCTGTGGATTTTGTTTTCGAATCGAATGATGGAATGTAAAGTTTCATAAATTTCATAAAACTTATAGTTTTCACATTTCATCCATTTAAATGAAAATTAAATCTAATGAAATATGTCCAACCAATTACCCATAATTCCAAAATAGAAATTAAAAATTTAATCGAACTCAAAAAATAAATTTATATTGCTAAAATATAATGACCTGGTCAATCATGGAAATCTGTATTTTATTCGACCAATCTATGAAATCAAATCCAAAAAAATGGCCAGTGATCATGAGAGTATAAGAAATTAAATAATTAGTGACTGTTTATGGAAGAGGACTGGATAATATAATGCTAACATACTACTCTCTATTCTAAAATATAAGTATTTTTTTAAGGCTTCTGCATGAAAATTAAGAAAATAATTAATTTTCCTAACTTTGTCTAATTTGCTAATCATTTAGGGCATTTGGTCTAGTGGTATGATTCTCGCTTAGGGTGCGAGAGGTCCCGAGTTCAATTTTCGGAATGCCCCTAATGAATTGTTTTTATCAAACTAATTTTTTTTATAACGTGCGTTTTACATTGACTATGCTCATTATATAATCATTTTTATACTCTTTTAATTTTTTTTATCTATATAATCTTAAAATATAAGTTTTTGTTTAGATTAAAATAAATATGAGTTGTTAATTTGTATTGTAGTTTGTTGTACAAGCTACTTATATACTTAATTCTATTTTTATATAATGAAATGGTCTCAAATTGAATTGATAAGATAATCATTTTGACTACAGTAGTAATGTTACTTACCCAGTGTATTAGAAGAAGGAATATACGTCATTCTTGAAACCCTAAAAAGTGATCTAAAATAGAATATATAGTTATAGTTTTTTTTCCAGTTTCCTAAATACATTTTTTTTTCAAGTTAAACAAATTTTGGATTTAAGGGAAAAAAATATCAAGAAAATTAAAAATATTTAATCATTAAGAGGTCATCTATTTATTGCAAGGGAGATATAAAACTCTTATTAAATTAAAATGATAATAGTTAGAAATTATTCGAAAAAGAAAATAAAAAAAATTATTATTAAGAATAAAACTTTTTTCATAACACACTCAATAAAAAAGTTTCAATACATACAAATATATAGATATATTAATAAAATATTATATACATATTTTTAAAATTCAAATTTTAAATTGTTCGCTAATCACACACGTATGTTTATTTTATTTAAAATAAGTTTTGAAAAGTAAAAATTTAAAAATCTTGAAAGGTTTAATTATGTGTATTCTATTTCAAATTTTAAATTGTTCGCTAATCAACAACACGTATGTTTATTTTATTTTAAAATTTTATTTAAAATAAGTTTTGAAAAGTAAAAATTTAAAAATCTTGAAAGGTTTAATTATGTGTATTCTATTTGAAAATTTATTTTTAAAAAATATACCCAATCAAATCATACACAAACATAAAGAAAAAAATATTAATAAAAATAGTATATTTTTTTTTTCATTTTTATCTCTCTGCTAAATAAAATATTATGTATATTTTATTTGAAATTTATTTTTTTTAAAAAATATATCCAACCAAACCATACAAATACAAAGAAACAAAAAATATTAGTAAAAAAATATATTTTTTTCTTTTTTATTTATCTCTGAAATAAAATATTTTAAATTATTATTAAAATAGAATAAATATTTAAAAATAAACTATAAAAATTTTCAAATGTCTCCTTTCAAATGCCCTCCCTTCATCAATATATATTTATGTAAATAGAATTAAATAAAAAAAGATAAAAACTTTAAAAATTTTAAAAATGCTTAATTATCTATTATGTAGTTATTTTAAAATCCTCATCATATATATTTATTAAAAATAAAATTAAATAAAAAAAGATAAAACTTAAAATTTTAAAATGCTTAATTATCTATATGTAGTTATTTAAAAAATAACTTTTATAAATATATCCAATCAACTAATGAAACACAATTTTTTAATTATCTATAATTAAGATTATTTTAACATATTTTCACTTTCATGGCATTATCGAAAATCTCATTGTTCCCCTATAATCATATTCCCACATTTATATATAGTATAGTATAAATTTTATTAAATGATTCTTTACTTTAATGGTAAGAGTAATACATTGGAACTTGGACCACAGTTCGATTCATGATAATGTAAAGTATCTTCTTTTTACTATGAATCACTCTTTATGTCAAAACTAAGGATACTTATGAACATAATATATTTTGGCACAGAGGGAAAGATAACTTGAATAATTCCGAAGTTGGAAAATGCACTGCCATTGAATTAAACCTGCAATTACTAATTCTATAACATGTTCAAAATTATATCTAACAAAAATTATCATTTTT